TCGAACATTGGAATTTATTCCTTCTATCTAACTGTATGTTTGTACCCATTAGTCAGTCTGTTTGCCTTGCTACCCACACCCTGACACCCTTTCCAGCCTCTGGTAACTATCATAACTATCATTCTACTCTCTACCTCCATGAGATTACCTTTTTAATTTTAATTTTTAAATTTTTTATAATTTTTTTTTTAAATAGAGAAGAGATCTCACTGTGTTGCCCAGACTGCTCTCGAACTCCTGAGCTCAAGCAATCCTCTCACCTTGGCCTTCCAAACTGCTAGGATTACAGGCATGAGCTACCATGCCCAGCCGAGATTAATGTTTTTAGCTCCCACGTATGAGTGAGAACATGGGATATTTGTCTTTCCATGTCTAGCTTATTTCACTTAACATAATGACCTCCAGTTCCATTCATGTTGCTACAAATGACAGGATTTCATTCTTTTTTATGGCCAAGTAGTATTCTATTGTATATATATAGCACATTTTCTTTATTCATTTGTTGATGGACACCTAGGTTGATTCCATATCTTCGCTATTGTGAATAGTGTTGTAATTAAGTTTTTAATTTTGATGAAGTTCTGTTTGTTTATTTATTTATTTATTTATTTATGCTTGTGCTTTTGCCATCTAAGAATCCATTGCCAAATCTAAGGTCATGAAGACTTATTTTTTTTTATTTTTTTATTTTTTTGAGACAGGGTCTTGCTCTGTTTTCCAGGTTGGAGTGCAGTGACATGATCTCAGCTCATTGAAGCCTCAACTTCCTGGGTCCAAGCCCTCCTTTCCACTTTAGCCTCTCAAGTAGCGGGGACCATAGGTGCACCTTACCACACCTCGCTAATTTTATTTTTTTGCAGAGATAAAGTTTCACTATGTTGCCCAGGCTATGAAGATTTATCCTTATGTTTTCTTCTAGAGCTTTATGGTTTTTAGCTCATATATTTAAGTAATTGATCCATTTAGAATTTATTTTTATATATGATATGAGGTATGGGATCCAAATTTATTCTTTTGCCTGTGTATATCTAATTGTCTCAGCATCATTTAATGAAAAGATGAATCTTTTCTATTTAATGGTCATGGCACCATTGTCAGAAATAAATTGACCATCTATTTATGAGTTTATTTCTGGATTATCAGTTCCTTTCTGTGGATCTATATGGATCTATATGTCTATCTTTATGCTGGTACACTGTAGTTTTTTTTTTTTTTTTTTAAGACAGGGTCTGGCTCTGTCCTCTGTCACCCAGGCTGGAGTGCAGTGGCTCAATCTTTGCTCACTGCAATCTCCACCTCTAAGACTGAAGCCATTCTCTCACCTTGGCCTTCCTCGTAGCTGGGATTACAGGTACCCACCACCACACTTGGCTAATTTTTGTTTTGATAGAGACAGGGTTTCACCATGTTGCCCAGGCTGGTCTTGAACTCCTGGGCTCAAGCTATCCACCTGCCTCGGCCTCCCAAAGTGCTGGGATTTCAGGCATGAGCCACCTTGCTTGGCTAATCACTTTAGCTTTGTAGTGAGTTTTCCAATTGTGACATATATCTTCCATCTTTATCCTTCTTTTCAAGACTGTCATGTTAATGTTTTAAGTCTTTAGCAAAGAAAATTCTTTTGCTTTAATCATGTGTTTCTCACATGCTTGTGATGATGAAATTGCTTTTTTATATAATAGCTAACAATATCCTCTGGACTGGTATTCTGTGGAAACAATTTTTGAGAAGGGTGGGAAAAAGTGACTATGTGGGGAATATTTTCTTTGCTTTATCTTACTACTTCAACAATATAGGTAGGAATAGATTGAGTTAAAGTTACCCTTCCCATTTACTTTTTCTGTTTAGTCATGAAAGACTTAATTCACTCTAATGTTTTTTTGTTGTTGTTGTCATTGTCAAAATATATACATATATTTTTTTTAGACAGGGTCTCATTCCTGTTGCCTAGGTTGGAGTGCAGTGGCACAATGACAGCTCACTATAGCTTTGAGTTCTTGGGCTGAGGTGATCCCACCTCAGCCTCCCAAGTAGCTGGGACTACAGGTGTGTGCCACCATGCCTGGCTAATTTTTGTTTGTTTGTTTTTTTTTTTTTTGTAGAGAAGGGGCTTCACCATGTTGCCCAGGCTGGCCTTGAACTCCTGGGCTCAAGTGATTTGCCCAAGTCAGCCTTCCAAATCACTGGGATTACAAGTATGAGCCACTGTGCCCAGCCTAATTTTGTTAATTGGTAAATAATGATATCGTTGCCATACTTCCCCCTTAACCTTAATAACTTTGCTTTTGTTGTTTAAAAATTTCACACATACATGAAAATAGGAAGAATATTACAATGAACTCCCATGTGCCTATTATTTAGCTTCAACAGTTATCAGCTTATGGCCAGACTTATTTTATGAACACCAACCCCCACCCCAACCCCCAGCTTGATTATTTTAAGCTATATCTAGACATTATATAGTTTTATCCCTGACCACTTCAGTATGTATTTTTTAAATGATAAGGGTTTATTTTATTTATTAATTAAAAAATTATTTAGTTAATTCTTTTGTAGAGATGGGGTCTTTTCCTGTTGCCCAGGCTTTCTCTGTTGCCCTGGCCTCAAGCAATCCTCTTGCCTTAGCTTCTCAAAGTGTTGGGATTATAGATGTGAGCCACTGTGCCTGGCCCAAAGATAGGGATTTAAAAAAACGCTAATCATTATCACACCTAAGAAAGTAATAATTTCTTAGTTACTTCAAATACCCAAAAGTCCTCATTTCTTGGTTTTCAGAGTGTTTTGAATCTTCAGACAAAACTGCGAATGTTTACTAGTTCATCTTTCAGTGGAATGCCTGTAATTTTTAAATACTCTAGTAGTATAAGTTATGAATGTCAGATTTAACTCAAAGTATTATTTTATCCTTTGGATTTAAATTATCTTTAGACCCAAAAGGAGCATATTTGGATTTACTGTTTTCTGTAAACGAAAACCTATTTTCTAGTGTAATAACTCATTAAGAAATATTTTTGATGGGGTTGTAGAATCTAAATAAAGCGAATAGTTCAATGTAAAAGAATATTTTTTGAATTTCATGTTTGCAAAACACAAAATGATCATATCCCCAAGCAGGATTATATCGTGGCTGTGAAGGCCATCAGAACTAAGTCCATCTACAAAGGCCTCTAGAGAAGAGGGATGTTTGTGTTTGTGCTCTGCACTATGATAGTCATTATGGGAATGATTTGCCCTGAAAGAAGTATAGTCATTTCTTCGTTATTCACAGACTGCTTGATTAGTTTGTGGATTATTCAGTTTTTATTTGTGCTTCTTTTCATTGTGATCCTACCATCTTTTTCTGTAAACAAAAAGAAATGGTGAGAGAGAAGGAAAATCAGATTAATCAAGTTGAACGTTTAAAAAAACTTGGTTTAGGCTAAGTGGTTTAGTAAATATAATGAGTATTAATTTTTTCCCCCAAATTTTATCTAGGAAGGGAAATCAAATTAGTAATGCCTTTCTCTGTCACTAATGAACTACCCCATGGACAGACAGGACTCTAGGCATGGCTTTCTTTGCTACTGTTATCTTGAGACATGCTGGGTGTTCCCATAGCTCTCTTTTTTCTGCTCCCAAGAGATTCTTGGTCATGGCCAATACCCTCTTTGGGACTAGTAATCCGGTGCTTCCCAGGGTTGCATTTTCTTAACAAAAATTGTATTAAAAAATAAAGATCTACTTCTGGCCAGAAACTGACTCATGCCTGAAAAACTGATAAATTAGACTTCATCTTAATGAAAACTTTTGCTTTGCAAGTGATACTGTTAAGACAATGAAAAGACAGGCTGTAGACTGGGAGAAAATATTTACAAATGATATATCTGACAAAAGACTCATTTCCAGATTATATAATGAACTTTTAAAGCTCAGTAATATGAAAATAAATAGCCCAATTAAAAATGGTGAAAATATTTGAACATACACTTAATCAAAGAAGATATACAGATGGCAAACAGGTACATGAAAAGATGCTCAACGTCGTTAGTCATTGGGGAAATGCGAATTAAAACTAAAATGAGATACCACTACATGCCTATTTGAATATTTACAGAATCTCAAGAAACCCAAAACAAAAAATGACCATGCCAAGTGTTGGTAAGGCCGTGGAACAATGGAAAATTTAATACATTTCTGTTGGGAATGTAAATTGGCACCATCACATTGGAAAACAGTGTGGCAGTTTCTTAAAATATTCAGTATGCACCTATTATTTGACCCATTCATTTCATTATTTACTGTTTACCTCACAGAAATGAAAGTGTGCCTCTACAAAGTCTTGCATGCAAATGCTTACAGCAGCTTTATTTGTAATTGCCTAAACTGGAAACAACTCAAATATCCATCAGTAGGTGAACAGTTAAACGAATTGTGGTCTATTAACAAAGTGGAACACTATTTGACAATGAAAATGAATGAACTATTGATGCATGCAACCACATGGATGAATCTCAAAATAATTATGTAGGTGAAAAGAAGCCTGGCAATAAAAAGCACAATATATGATTCAATTTATATAAAACTCCAGAAAATACACACTGCTCTATAGTGACAAAAAGCAGGTTAGTGGTTGCTTGGGTATGTGGTGGGGTGGTGAGGGCTGGAGGAAGGCATTACCAAGAGACATAAGAAATCTTTTAAGAGTGATGAAAATGTTTCCTATATTGATTGTGGCAGTGATTTAATGGGTATATACGTGTGTGTGTGTGTAAAAATTTATCAAAAAGTATATTTTCACTACGTGTAGGTTATTATATATAAATTATACCTCAATAAGGTGTAAAGAAAATAAAACAAGCTCTGGAGCATTCTTCCTGAGCATGAATTTTACATTCCATTCTTCCAAAGGAAAAATAAATGAGGCTGCAGGTACACTAAACTAAAGTGTTAAGTACAATTCTGGACTGTAGTGATTCATATCTTTATATATACCAATGTTTGTGAATTTAAACTTTTGTTTTCAGGCAACTACTCTGAGAGTGAGGAAATTAGAAGAAAACATTGAAGCAGAAAGAGCAGCACATTTGGAATCAAAATTTAATTCTGAAATTATTCAGGTAAAATGTAAACAAATATTTTGGCCTGGATTTTCTTAATTTGTGTTATAATAGCTGGGAAAAACAGCACTATGTTGAGAGAACTAAGGTGTGCATTGAGAATGGGTAACATATTGTTATGACGCTCATTATTGTATTTAAGGTTAGGATACAGTTGGGATATGCTGCCTAGTGGAGGAGTTGGCACACTCCAGCCTACAGACCAAGCCTCACCAACTGTCTTTTCTTGTGAAGTTTTGTCTTGTCCATAGCTGCTTTTGTGCTACAGTGGCAGAGTGGAGTAGTTGTTAACAGACAACTTATCTGGCAGTCTAAAAGAAATTTACGATTAGAGTGTTCTTTTTACCAACAGCCATGAGATGAATTTCTTTTTGAGAACATTGAAAAAATGTGCACCTTATTTATTAAGTGCATATCCTATGCATATCACTGTATTAAGAGCTGAAGGTGTAAAGATGAATGAACTCCTTTTGTTAACTTATATTTGATTATCAGAGATACTATATATCTATCTCCAGGCATATGGATACTTAGATAGATGTATAAAATACTGAAATACAATGGGAACATAATAAAGAAAAGGATTAAATCTGGGAGGGGAATTAAATGGAGGCCTGGTAAGGAAACTATCCCTTCTGTTATGTCTTAGAGAATGAAAAGGAATTTCTAAGAGAAGTGAGAGCAGAGTTTTTACTAGGGGTTGGCACACTACTGCCCATGGACCAAGTCTGACCTACAGCCTTCTTCTGTAAATACATTTTTATTAGAAGATAGTCATGCCCATGTGTTTACATATTGTTTATGGTTGCTTGTTGAGACAGACCTTATGGTCCACAGAATTTAAAAGAGTTACTCTGTGGCCCTTTACAGAAAATATTTACTGACCACTGTTCTAAACAAAGAACTGCTTGAATAAAGCCACTAAATAAGAATGTGCTTGTTTCTTTTTGAGGAATACTTGTAGTGCTAGGGAAAAGTTTGGAGACAATGATGGAAGGCATGATGAAGACTAATTATGAAAGTCCTTTTTCATGCTAAGAAACTTAAGACGTATTTTGAAAGCAATGGAAAGCCACTGTAGCGTTTGAGAGACAGATACCAAATCTAAGTTTAAGAAAATAACTCTGGTACCATGTTGGTGGGTAAGGGAAGGGATTGAGGATAGGAGGACGGGTGAAGAGATGGTGAATGCCAGAATCAAGGCAACAACTGTGGCAATGGAAAAGAGGGCTCCTGTGGTCAGAATAACAGCCCCTCAAAGATGTCCACATCCATCCTTATCCTCAGACCCTGTGAATATGTTACCTTATATGGCAAATGGGACTTGGAGATGTGACTTATTTGAGGATCTTGAGATGGGAGTTTGTCCCAGTTTATCTGGTTGAGCCTGATGTAATTGTAAGAGTCCTTATGGGAGGGAGGCAGGAGGGTCACAGTCAGAGACAGAGATGTGATGACAGAAGCGGAGGTCAGAGTAGGCCACCATGAGCCCAGGAATGTGGGTGACCCCTAGAAGTTGGAAAAGGCAAGACAAGAATTCTTCCCTAGCATCACCAGAAGGAATGGAGCCTTGCTGACCCTGTGATTTTAGCCCTAGAAAACCCATTTCAGACTTCTGACCTCCACAACTGTAAGATAATACATTTATGTTGTTTTAAGTTGCTAGTTTGTGAAAATTGGTAATAGCAGTGATTGGAAAGATACAAGGGACACAGTGAAAAGCATGATTATAGGTACCTAACTTGCAGTATGAGAGGAGGGAAAGAGCAATAGAAGAGAACACCAAGGTTTGCAATGCGTGAAAGTGGGCAGATGCAGTTGACTGCCAAACTCTGAAGTCTGAAGAGAGACGATGGTAAGTTTTGAACATGTTGACTTTGAGGAGCAGTTTAGAGGTTCATAGTGCTCTTTGAGAATATGGTCATGCAAAGTCACCTGAACAACGTATGTTTACTCTTGTCAACCTGCTATGTGTGAACAGTTCCTTTCCTTCTATTCTCTCAAGCAACTGCCTTTAGCTTATCTCGGATCAGCCAGTTTCTCAGGCATTAGGACAGTTAAGGAAATTACGAAGGAGGAGATTTGTTGGACCTCCTACTTTTTTGAATATAATATTTTATAGGCAATTATGACTTTTTGGTTAACTGCTTTCTCAGCATTTTGACAATATGCTTTAAAATCTAATAAATACGGTATTTGTTATGCATCTGTTAAAGAGATTAATTTTAATGAAGATTACCTATGATAGTATTTTTGTTTGTTTAAATCTGAGAAGGTAGAAAGTATCTTTATGAACTTAGATTCTCATATTAACTGTTAAGATGTTCTTATTTCATGCTATTTTTTTTTAAGATGGAGTTTTACCATGTTGGTCAGGCTGGTCTTGAACTCCCGACCTCAGGTGATCCGCCTGCCCTGGCCTCCAAAGTGCTTGGATTACAGGCGTGAGCCACCACACCCGGCTGCTATTTCATGCTATTTAGCTGGTTAGTTACTATGTTTGAACATTGCTTTGTGACAAATGTAATAGACTGTATGAAAATAAAATACATGCACTTATTTCTAGAAGAAAAAGTAGTTTTAAGCTTATTTGGCTTTAGCAAGTTTGAAAATCCTCTCACTTTATTTGTGCTCTTGAATTTCATATCAGGTGGAAGTTGGGATTGCCAAAATCAGTAACTGAAAAGTAGCTATAAGCAGACAGATTAAAATGAATTTACACTAAAAAAAGTTACTGCTTTGATTTAGGTGTTTGCCTTAGGTGTTCATTATCTCTTCACCCAACTTCCTATCACCACTCCCTTACTTTGCCAATGTTAGTTATCAGATTTATTTTTCTAAAACTTAGATTTGATATTTACATCAAAAGCTACTTGTATTAAAAGCTACTACTTTAAACATGTCTAAATTACTTAATTTAATTTACATTTTAAAAGACTTAGACTTCTATCTTGTTTTAATTAAAATAATTTATAGCATTTTACCTTATTGTTTAAATAACTCCTTAATGCAAGATGCAACTATATTTGTTGCATCTTGATGCAACACTCCCTTCCTTTATATAAAAGATTTTATATTAAAAATTTATGTTTTTACTTTTGACTTTAATGAAATATCATTTTTATCTAAAATTCTCAGATCCCTATATTTAAGCATGTCTGTTTGTTAAAGCAAACTTGTGTAAGTTTTTTTTTTAAAGATCAGGTCACCAAAATGGCATCAATAAATAATAAGGCTGAAGTTTTCTTTTTCTTTTCTTTTCATTGTTTCCTTTTATGATTTCAACTTTTATTTTAGATTCGGGGGTACACATGTAGTTTGTTATCTGGGTATACTGCCTGATGCTGAGGTTTTGGGCATGACTGATTTCGTCACCTAGGAGGTCAGCATAGTACCCAATCATTAATTTTTCAACTCTTGCGCCTTTCTCACCCTCCTCCCTCTAGTAGTCCCCAGTGTGTATTGCTGCCATCTTTATGTCCATGAGTATCCAGTGTTTAGCCTCTACTTATAAGTGAGAACATGTGGTATTTGGCTTTCTATTCCTGTGTTAATTTGCTTAGGATAAGGGCCTCCAGCTGTATCCATGTTGCTGAGCAGGACACGATTTTGTTCTTTTTTATAGCTGCATAGTAATCTGTGGTATATATGTACCACATTTTCTTTATCCAATCCATCATTGATTGATGAGCACCTGTGTTGATTCCATATCTTTGCTATTATGAATAGTGCTGTGATGAACGTGAAAGTGCATGTGTTTTTTTGGTAGAATGATTTATTTTCTTTTGGATATATATCCAGTAATAGGATTGCTGGGTCAAATGATAGTTCTAAGTTTTTTGAGAAATCTGTGCTCCACTTTCCACAGTGGCTGAGCTAATTTACATTCCCACCAGCAGTATATAAACCTTCCTTTGGCTGAAGTTTTAAATTCATGAAAAATAATGTAATTTCAAAATTAGGTTTTCCATTGTAGTTGTGATATATCACCGGGAATATATAGTTAATTGCTATAAAAATGTAAATTATTACCCATTTTTTACTTATATAGTTTAAAATTAATATTTGATATCTCAGTGCTATGACTTAGAAAAAATGAAAAGTTTATATTTGAATCATAAATCTATAAATATTTAAAAGTATTTTCAATGAGGTACATTACATCTAATGCCATTCAGTTTCAGAGTAGTTTAATGCAAAGTAAATTACTAAGTAGCTATAACTAATCATCATCTTATGAAATACTGTTAAATATGTATTTGAAATCTGTTATTAAGTTTGTTTGTATGCTTTGGTATAAAAATGAGAAACCAGACTTAAAAGGGCTGACTCAAATTTGTTATTTTGTAGTTTATTTTTCTTTCAATTGGATTGGTTTATCATTTGTGATTGAGTGTATTTCTTTTCTGAAAAAAGATAGTGATGTAGACAAGAAGAAAATATTTCCCAGATTTACTATTTGACTTACAAACATTGGGTTTAGACAAAATAACAAAGAAAAATAGAGTTCTTAGGTATAATTTGAAAATTTAAATCGAGTTGCATCTACGTATTTTCCTTCCTTACTTTAGTGTAAGAATAAACATTTTATGCCAGGTGCAGTGGCTCACACCTGTAATCTCAGCACTTTGGGAGGCTGAGGTGGGCAGATCACTGGAGGCCAGAAGTTGAGGACCAGTCTGGCCAACGTGACGAAACCCCGTCTCTGCTAAAAATACAAAAATTAGCTGGGCGTGGCGGCACACACCTGTAGTCCCAGCTACTCCGGAGGCTGAGGCATCAGAATTGCTTGAGCCTGGGAGGTGGAGGTTGCAGTGAGCAGAGATCGTGCCACTGTACTCCAGCCTGGGTGACAGAGTGAGACTCTGTCCCCACCCCCCAAAAAAGAATGAATATTTCAAGTATTTCAGAATATTTTTGGATAATCAGAAATAATTCTGGTAATTATCATTTATATGATTAATTTTGAAACACTTTCATAGTATCTTAGGCTTCGTTTCCTGGTGAGTTTATCTTTCCTAACTCAGGTTGTCTGTTGCCATTCCTGTGAGGCTTGCCTCACACAGAGTTCCACAGCTTTTCTCCGAATTCAGGACCCCTGTGCATTCCTCTGTCACAGGAAGGATATACCATATTGTGTTGCAGCCTATGCTCTCTTAAAGCCTATAAATTCCTCAAGAGCTAAGACTGTGTAGTTTCATGATTATTGTATATATCTTGAGCATTAGGATATTGAGTGACACATATTACATACTTAATAAATATTGATTAAATAAACATTGTCTCATTAGATCCTTGTAGCAACCCCACAAAGTGGTCTAGATGACATTATTATTATTCACTATTTATAGATGAGAAGCCCCAAGTATTTGAAGTTTTAGTAACATGCCCAAAGTTGCATTTGTTAATTTTGTAATTCTGGGATTTAGCCTGAGTTTTGTTGGTTTGTTTGTTTTATTCTGCTATCTGTCATGTTTAGACAGAGTCAGACCCAAGTTGTATGGTTCTAAAGCCCATTTTCTATTGAATGTGAAACAGTTTTTTCTACCCCCACCACCTCTTTAAACTATTTTCTAAAAAGAAACTATTTTTCTTTTAAACTTTATTTCCTGAAAAGGTAAACTATCCAGAGTTCGAAAATTAAAACAATATTAAAAGATTGAGAGTTTTTGCCTTCATTCTTGTCCTTCTCATTCCTCTACCCCCTGCCTGCTTATTTTCATTCTTTTCACTTATTTACCCCAAATGTAACATACTATATACACTGATATGGAATCTGCTATTTTCAACATATATTAGTAATACATTGTTCTTGAACACTGTGGAGAATTACATAGAAAACTTTCTTTTTAATAGTTATTTTGAAAAAAGAATAAACTCATTATTTTACAGCAACGTGGATGGAACTGGAGGCCATTATTTTAAGTGAAACAACTCAGAAAGTCAAATACCACATGTTCTCACTTAGAACTGAGAGCTAAATAATGTGTACATATGGACGCAGAGTATAGAATAATAGTCATTGGAGACTCAGAAGAGTGGGAGGCTGGAAATGGGGTTGAGGGATGAGCTATTACTTAATGGGTACAATGTAAACCTATTGGGTGTTGGTTACACTAAAAATCCAGACTTTGCCACTATGCAATATATCCATGTAACAAAACTGCGCTTGTATACCTTAATTTATTTATTTTTGAGATAGGGTCTTGCTCTGTCACCCAGGCTGGGGTGCAGTGGTGCTGTCTTGGCTCACTACAGCCTTGATCTCTCCAGCTCAAGTGATCCTCCCGCCTCTGCCCCGCAAGTTGCCTGCACTGCAGGAGCATATCACCATGCCCAGCTAATTTTGTATTTTTTGTAGAGAAAGGGTTTCACCATGTTTCCCAGGCTGGTTTCAAACTCTTGAGCTCAAGTGATCCACTTGCTTTGGCCTCCCAGAGTGTTGGGATTACAGGTGTGAGCCACTGCACCTGGTCTGTAGGCCTTACATTTACACACACACAGACACGAGTTATTTTTTAGCCTTTTTACAGCTACATATAATTATTTTTTTTTGAAATATACTTGTTTATTCATCCTATGGATGGTGGACACAGGGAAATATAGTTTTGTTTGCTTGTTTGTTTGTTTTTTGAGATGGAGCTTCACTCTTATTGCCCAGGCTGTAGTGCAGTGGCGTGATCTCGGCTCACCACAACCTCTGCCTCCTGGGTTCAAGCGATTCTCTTGTCTCAACCTCCTGAGTAGCTGGGATTACAGGCATGCACCACCACACCTGGCTAATTTTGTATTTTTTAGTAGAGATGGGTTTTTTTCCATGTTGGTCAGGCTGGTCTCAAACTCCTGACCTCAGGTGATCTGCTCGCCTTGGCCTGGGAATATAGTTTTAAAATGTCTTTTTATGTAGAATTTCAAGTATATGTGAAAGTAAAGTAGTAAAATGAACTTCGCACGTACCCATCACCCAGCTCCAACACTTATTTCATGTCAATGGTGTTTTATCTCTTACCTCCTGGAACTCCCCTACCTTCAGACTATTAAAATTGTTTTTTCATTTTTTATTTTGAGGGAAGGTCTCAGTCCATTGACCAGGCTGGAGTGCAGTGTTGCAGTCGTGGCTCACTGCAGCTTCCGACTCCCTGGCTCAAGTGATCCTCCCTCCTTAGCCTCCTGAGTACCTGGGACTGTAGGTGCCGGCCGCCTCCAGACTATTTTGAAGTGAATCTCAGATACTAACTCACTCTAACCGTAAATATTTTAGTCAAATAGTATTGTGTGACCATAAGAACATCACTTTTCTATAGTAAGAAATCTTGGGAATAAAAAGATCAGTTAAATTTCTTAGGCTTATACTCATGCAATAATGTTTCTTATAGGAGAGGAAGAATATTTAATCCCTTTAGTTTTCAAAAACCAGGCCAGGAACAGTGGCTCATGCCTGTAATCTCAGTGTTTTGGGAGACTAAGGTGGGAAGATCACTTGAAGCTAGCAGTTCAAGACCAACTTGGGCAACATAGTGAGACCCCATCTCTGCAGTGAGCTGGGGTATGGTGGTGTGTGCATCTTTAGTCCCAGTACTTGAGAGACTGAGGTGGGAGTATCACTTGAGCCCAGGAATTCAAGGCTGCAGTGAGCTATGATCACACTACTGTACTTCAGCCTGGGTGACAGAGTGAGACGTTGTCTTTTAAAAAAGCAAAACCAAACATTTAATTTATCATATGTTATAAAAGAAGTGTCTGAATGGATTAGTAGGTCAAAATTTGATACTGAAAATTTAGATTGAGTTGTATCAACATATCTGTTTTATTTGATAGAATGGGTTATATTTTATCAGCCTATCCTTGTTCATAACACAGTTAACTCTTCTCTTCATTCTTCCACTCTTCCCCTCTTCCTTTAAACATGTTGAGAAAGGAATAAACTGTCTTTTGTTTGTTTATTTTTCTTTTTTAAGCCAAAGCAGAAAGAAAGAAGTACTTGGATGAATGATAATCTGTTACTGCTAAAGTATTCTACCCAATTTAAGATTGATGCTAGCATTTCTTAGCTTGATTTAATTACTTGTCTGTCATCTGGTAGTTACGGATTCGAGACCTTGAAGGAGCTTTGCAAGTAGAAAAGGCCAGTCAAGCAGAGGCTGTTGCTGATTTGGAAATGATCAAGAATGAATTCAAAGAAGTTGAAAGTGCATATGAGCGAGAAAAGCATAAGGCACAAGAGAGCTTGGCAAAACTAAATTTGTAAGTATTTTACTGTAAAATTCTCTAAATTAACATAAATATTTTATAAAAGCTATATAAAATATGAATTATACTATGTATTTTAGATATAGTTTCCATTAATGTCAGTAGATTGAGGTGAAGGACTTCATAAAACAGAACTATATTTTCCTGTATAGATAAATATGGAAATGCTTTTTTGGATATTGAAGTATATTCTAAGTAGCCCAAGAAATTGAGTAATATACTAGAAAGTAAACATACTAATTTAGTTTGCATTATATGATTGATATAATGCAGTATCCTTAAGTATCAAGACCAGCTTGGGCAACATAGTGAGACTTTGTCTCTACAAAAAAATAAAAGGATTAGCTGGGTATAGTGGTGTGCATTCACAGTCCCAGCTACTCAAGAGGCTGAGGTGGGAGGATCACTTGAGCCTGGGAGTTCAAGGCTGAAGTGAGCTATGATCTAAGGCTATGATCTGGGGCTAAGACTTCTAAGCCACGTAAAATGGTCTGTATGGAGATAGATAATATTTGACATTTTCTCAAACTACAGATATAATAGTAATAGCAGTAACACTACTACTAGTGGCTAACATGCATTGTGGCTCACTGCATACCTAGCATTGCATAGTTTCATTGATCTAGCACCCTATGAGGAAGGTATTTTTAAAAATCCTATTTTTACAGATGTGGAAATCGAGGCCTGGCAAGAGTAAGGACATACAGTTCATAAATGGCAGAATTAAAATCTTTCTGACTCCTACTGATTTTAACCTTTTTCAGTTCAAAAGCCTTTCATCTTCAAAATTCTGTGAAATGCTTTAAGAAGTTTATAATGCTTTAATATGTTTCCAAAAATAAATCAGTAGTAGACATTTTAAGCCATTTTCCCCCCAGAGGGTGAAATTCATACTGCCATTGATATGTGGCATGATAATATACAGGCATATTAGAATTATATTAGTTTCTATTTATGGCAAGTAGATAATGGTTTTCCATTTACAGCCTGATATAAAGATTCCTTTTAAAATGCTTTATTGGCCAGACATGGTGGCTCACACCTGTAATCCCAGCACTTTGGTATGCCGAGGCAGGTGGATCACCTGAGTTCAGGAGTTCAAGACCAGCCTGTCCAACATGGTGAAACCCTGTCTCTACTAAAAATACAAAAATTAGCTGGGCGTGGTGGTGCGTGCCTGTAATCCCAGCTACTTGGGAGGCTGAGGCAGGAGAATCATTTGAACCCAGGAGACGGAGGTTGCAGTGAGCCGAGATTATACCATTGCACTTCAGCCTGGGCAACAGAGTGAGACCTCATCTCAAAAAAATGCTTTATTTATTATAAGAAGTGAGTTAATTTAAGTGAAAGTATTACTTAAATAGTGGTAATTTTTGTGAGGATTACAAAAATCATGAAGATTGGACTTGAAAGACTGAAGGACTTTAGAACTCTTTTAAAATGGTGTTTTTTTAAATTAGTAATGCTTATAATATTTTAAAACAATAATTCTTAAATGAATTTTCTTGCTTCCTCTAGTATGACTTAAATGACATTCTGTGAATGTTATTTTAATAATTTATTTCTCCTTTATTTTCTTTGAACCATTGCTTGAATGTGCACATTTAATATATTTGAATATATTCAAATATTATTCAAATACATATTCCAATATTATTCTGCATATAAATATATTTGAAAGGCTTTTATGTAGAATATAGTGCAGGTTTCTTTACTTTTGCTTTAAGGTAATGATTAGGACCTACAAGTAAAACTTTAAGAAGTCAGAATGAGCTCCCAATAATTAAAGCTCTCTAGCAATGAAATACTAGACATCTTTCAGGGAACTAGTGAGCTCCCTACCTTGGGAAATTCAAAACACAGGGTGGATGATTCTCTGTCATAGATGTTGAAGAAGAAAATTTCATAAAGATTGGACTGGGGGAATTTTAACCTAGTTGCTAACAATTAAGCTCTGAGTCTAACCTGTATACTTTTCTAATAAGCAATTTTTTCCCTAAGTTTTATTTTGCAGCTATTTGTATTTTGGTACTTGAAAAATTTTACTCAAGTTTAGTATTCCAGTAAACACCAACTAACAATTCTGAATATTAGTTACATATTCCAACTAGGCACTAGCTAACTAACACTCCTAATGCTTTAATATAATGTTCCTTATCTGTTTTTCATCTGTATATAACTATCATGATAAATAAGGTAAATAATAAATAAATAATAGTAAGTAATAATTAAAGCCCAATAATCAATGAAAATTTCTGTGACTTTCCTTTTCCCATCCTGTCTTCCTTTTCCATGTATGTGAAATGAAAGCCACTTTCATCCCTATTATCTGTAGTATAAGAAGGAATGATCTGACTTGAAGGATCTACCTGTACTTTCATTTTCCGTTTTCTACCTGTACTTCTGACTATACTTCAGAATCATTTTCAAAAAATATTTTTTAAAGATGATTCTGAATTTCTTACATATTTTTAAAAGAAGATTCTGAATTTCTGAAAAATATTCTGTTGTTTCAAAGTAGTTCTAAGTTTTGGTTTATGTATTCCGAATAGAGAATTGATAGATTTTGGGTCTTTAATGCAAATCATACCTTAAACTTACAACTTTGAGAATAGGGAGTTTTGGAGTAGGATATTGTTTTACCTGTTGTGAACTGATACAGCAATTCATCATGCCTGAACCTGCCATTAGTTAAGGTTTTTAAGCTTCTGTTTCTTGCTAGGTAGACCTAGGCAGGATCTCACTAAAAGGCAGGAAAAAAAAGACTGTGTGTATATTGTAGAGCTATAGTTTTGGTCCGTATTTTCATAACAATAGACATACCTGCATGAAATTATTTTAGATGGAATGCATATATTCCATAATTCTATAATCAAAATTTCACTATAATTCTTTCCATCTAAAATTTATATTTATGAAACTAAAACTTTTCAATAATCTTTTGTTTTTTAAATTTTAAATTTTAAATTATGGGTAAATAATAGTTGTACATATTTGTGGGGTACATGTGATATATTTATACAAGCATACAATGTGTGATGATCAAATCAGGGTAATTGGGCTATCTATCAACTCAGGCATTTATCATTTATTTGTGTTAGGAACATTTCAATTCCACTTTTTTAGTTCTTTTGAAATACATAATAAATTATTGTTAACTATAGTTGCTCTGTTGTGCCACCAAACACTAGATCCTGTTTATTCCATCTAACTGTATTTCTGTACCCATTAACCATCAGAATTTTCAAATATAGTCAAGTCTTCATTAGCTGTGATAACTGATTGCTGGGCAATAGTAGGGAGAAAGAGATCATAGTAATCCTCAGGTATAATTGAAACTTAAATTTGAAACAACATTAGTCAAATATATCATACTGAATGGACTGCATCTAAATTTATTTCTTACACTCAATATTTAGGAATTAATTTTTCTAAATATATCACTCAAAAGGATAAACATAACAACAGTATTGTAACTTAGTAGCACTATTTTTGTTTACATTATGTGTAAAACATAGTCCAAAGATGGCTATTTGTTAAAATAGACTGTTGTCAAATTCTTAGCTGAAGTCTTAAAAAAAAAAAAAAAGAATGAGACTCCAATAGAAAAGAAGGCATCCTAGCTACAGACTTTCTTCTCCCTTCCCTTTCTTGCCTAAATTTTCCACCTTTTAAGTCCTGGCCTTTTCCCATCAGAATTTAGAGACAGGGCCTCTCCTTAACCTCCCCTATTCTCGCCCCACTTACTCCCTCTTGGTTGGAGGTGTTGGCAGCATGGTAGGAGCCAGCTTTTTTGGGTTATCTGTCAGAATGCTTAACAGCAAGGTGTGTTTCCCCATTTCAGTGGACACAGTTTGTCCCTTATTTATAAAACAGTACCAAAAAAAGCTGCATATATATTGTGTATGTAACAAGAGGTGGACTTAATTTTGTATTTTCTGAGTAATAGTAATTTTTAACTAAAATCTTGATTTTACCAAATTAATACATGTACACAGTCTAAATGAATAAAATGGTATTGTTAGGCTCATGAAAAACAGCAGTTGCATACCCCTTTGCTCTATCAGTTTCTATCAGTTTCTATTCCTTTGATGCATCTACTTTCAAATCTTATTGCTGTTTCTTCTGATATTTGATTTCATATTACTCAATAACAGGCATAATATGCTATTTTTTCAGTTTCTGCCTTTAGATATCAATTAGCTTCTACTTATTATCTCTATTATATGCTTCTTCCACACAACAGACACTCCTTCCCTCTTCCCATCCTTTCTATAGCGTTATATTTTTGAGTTTAGCATACTTTATTTTTTCTACAGTTTAATTTTTGTTAATCTATCTTTTTTTTTTTTTTTTTTTTTT